TGTGAATATGACTGAAAATTTTCATTTTTTTTCTGAAAAGTTGGTGTCTATTTACTTGTGACCACGCTGTGTATGTTTAAACCAGTGTCGTAAGCAAATTGTAAATATCTACGCATTCTCATTCAGTTAGCTCCATAAAAACATAAAATTTGTAGAAAAATTCTAAACTTAGGAAAAAGCTTCAGAAATAAAGTACTTCTTATCTACAGAAGATGAGTACATTAAAACAATTTTAGAGCCTTACCATGTTGTTACAGTCCATGTCGTCACGTCGAGTAATGTTCTATCTGACGACAATAGTCCTGCAATGTAGTTTTCATTGCAAAAGTCTTCGCTGTAAGGATGTCATGTCCAAATCAAACCACGCCTTTTGAGGCTTTCCATAATCCATGTAGTGTACGAGAACTACGGTTTCTCAGCATCAGTTTCAATGGTCTGATCGCAGAGAAATCCATAGTCAACAAAATAGCATGAATACCCGTTTTATTATCAAGTTGCTTGAGATATCCCACGGTTGAATAGATATATCATGGAAACAACTTGTGCATGCGTGACTTGTGTCCCTTTTTCAGAAAGTGATCCTTCTTGATTATGTTGCATACTGTTGCTTTGGGTACGTAGACCACTGACTTTGTGTTCGTGAATTCTTACCAGTTACAAAGTGCTACAATTTGCTTACTACAGCAGATCTATTTCTAGATGATACTGTTAGTTCCAGAATGATTCACATTCTTTTCTTTTCCAATGCCGTTAATTAAAAGGAATAATCCCATCTTGAAAGGTATAAATTCCCTGATTTTAGGACATATTTATGATGTTATATCCACTTCCCAAAACTGATCAGTTTTCGAAGCCGTCATACTAACGTAATGCCAATGTCAAAATGTAGTTCTGATACATTCTGTTGCTCTGCAACTTTATATTGGCTGTGGTTGTCACGTAACTCTCTGATTTGCACATTCAAAATCGTTTTATTGTAATGTAATCAACCCAATTTTGATATTTGTATTTTTGAAAACGATAAATAATTCAAACACATTTCCACTGTACTTAATAAAATATTACACAATCAAATTATCATTCTATTAATTCATGGCAATGTAATTTCTTTGTTTCAATTTCTTGATCTTCGACAAGTGAAATGACATTTTCTTTAGATTGTGATCAAATGGAGCACTTTTCAGTAGTTAAGATTTTTTTATATGCCTACTGATGTGGGTATGTAAGACTCATTTCGTTTCATCACTTTGAAATTAGTCAAGAGTCAACAGCTAAAGAAGATTAGATTGAAGATCTAGTAATCTACTTACATTAATATAGAGTAAATATAATGATTTTGGTCTAATCAGTAATTTGTGGCTTTTAGAGGTATTGGCTACCAGGATATACTGTGGAGGTGAACAACGTATTCAGATGGCAAGTTGACAACACTTTGTAGTTTCTTTAGACGTTGAAAATGCTTGCATGCTAATTTGCTTATTTATTTCTGTTTGAAATTTTGTACTATGACTAAACATAAGGTAATCTTAGTTGGGTTTAACGAGTCTGATAAGCAACGCCAAAATATTCTGATGACTCAAGTCCTTATTTATTTGATATTATTGTTAAGTTCATCGTACTCGTACAATGCAAACAAGTAAAACACCATATGCATATGCATAAGTAAAACACCATTATATTTTGAAAACAAGCTATATTTAATTTATCTCAGTTGAGAATGCTGTTAAAGAAAAGTATAATATCCGATCTCTTAAAGGTAACTGTGACATCATTTTGAAAGGTGGGATCGTAGGTTACCAATAAATCTTTGTCAGTTTTTTCCTTGTTCTTTGTGATTTATAGCCAGAAGTGATGACTACTTCAACTGACAAAATAAAGCATCAAAAGAAATATTTTAACGAATAGCAATGAAGTTGAAACTACTGTAATATAAAATGGATCTTTCTGGTCAACAATAAAAATAAAATATAATTCTAAGACGAAAAGAAATATTTTAATGTTTTATTTAAAATAGTTTCTCACAACAATAGCCATCAGTTATACCAGATTGTAAATGTAAATATCGGGTCTGGTTGGTACTTGGAATGGTGACTATCTGGGTGATGATGGTACTATTACTATTACTCTCTGGAAGAGAGCAGTCATCTGTTTGTTCTTAAAGGTGAGGCGACTAATTAAGCGTGTACTGTGCCGAAATTGAATTTTTTTAAAACTCTTGGATACAAGGTAGAGTTTTCAGTTAATGCGAGAGCTTCTAGAACTCTACTTAATTTTGCATTGTATCAGTCACTGCTATGTCAAACCATCACTCTAGTCATTGATGTTGTTGTTTTCTTAGTACAAGGCTACACAATGGGATATTTGCACTTTATCCGCAATGGGGAATCGAATTCCAGATTTTAGTACTGTAAGTCTGTAAAATTATTGCTGATTCAATGAAAAATCCCAATTCCGTTTCATAGTCTAGGCCATAACTAAGTGCACAAAATTTTTTGTATAGGATTTAGGCTTTAACAGGTTTAAATGACCTATAAAAGTAAACCCATGTACCATTTGAGTTATAGCTCTGTAAGAAATGCTAACCAGATTATGTACTGGGAAAAAAGATGCACAAATGCATGCACATCGTGAAAACACGATTGTAATCAACAAGTAGTGTTTCATGTAATATTATAAATATTGCAATCTCAGATTATACACCAGCTGATGCTGTGGTAGATACAGTCTTGGCCAAAATGTTTCCACATTTTGTAACGAATAAGATAATTATTATTAAGGTGGAATACGAATACACTTAGCACTGTGAAACTGAATAAAGCATGTTATGTTAAACATCTACATACGTAATTTGTATAATGAGACAGCTTCTATGGGCATCATTAACAATTTATTGAAACAGTAAACAATTTTATCATACACCTGTAGAAAGATGTGTAATTCAGCATTTCACCTATCACAACAAAACTTTAAGAAAATCTAAGTAAAGGAGAAAAAAAAATCGATGTTGATACTTTATTTAGCAATATGCCAGTTAATAAGACCATATATTTCTTTAAAAGAAAATTACCCAGACTGAACATATTCTTGCCTGTTTCCATTGATGCTTTTCTCCAACACTTTTCAATATGTACACGGAATATTTTAAAACTGAATTACTTCCTTCCATAAACTTTTCAGAATGTCCATGTTGCTGATGTTTTTTGCGTTTCCAAACCAAGAAGTGATTTTGAAATGATTTTTAAGAACCTTACTCACCTTCACCCCACTATCACATTTAAAGTTTTAAATGGGAAAAGATGACAAACTTCCTTTCTCTGATATTTTGATAACCAGAAACAACATGAAACCTGTTCTTTCTTTATATCGAAAACCAAGTTTTGTCTATTTGATACACAAATAGATAGGAAGGGGAAATTATTATAATATACAATCAAGTTTTATTGTGGTGTTTCTGAAATAACAACATGTGAACTAGCCCTTGCTAGATCTCTCGAGTGTAAAGAGTTTTAAGAAACACTTCTCAATAAAAAGAATGAAATTTTCTGGGTATAGAAGCGAACATGGCCAAGAGATAAAGCTTACAAGCTGAGAGAGAGATGTTGAGTCTAGGAGATTTTCTCTTGGATATAGGACTTTCACAGATGCTGTGAAGGCCCATGTAATTGGTCAGTCTGTAACCAACGACTCAGAGAGATTTACTTGTATCATGTGAACCCAGACCTTGGTAACCTTGAGGACCAATTACAACAGAAGGGAAGCATAGGTGCCTGAAGTTTGCCAGAATGGATTGGTGCCTAGTAAGGCTGAGACTATGTGATTAGGTATCTATCAAACTCCCAAGCCATTTAAAATCAGAGTACAGCAGCCACAGCTCCGGTCAAAACCACCACTAACTAGTGGATTGTGGGTTGACAGGCTGCTGGTGGTTAATTTCTTCCAATCAGTTATTTCTCCGGTAGGTGAGACAATAGGCACCCACAGGTGAAAGACATGGCCCATGAATTGAGGTACTTTTCAGAATGGGAAGGTTCCTGTGACATTGACAAAAACATGTGACACCTGGGGTCATGCAGGGTTGAACAACAAACCACCTTGAGTTGCTTGTCACCCTATAGCTCTGAAAGAGGAACCAACCTCCTATTGAAGTTTGGGAGTCTCTGTGAGTGGCTTCCAACCAGAACCAAGGACACTAACAGCATCTTCTCATGGCATCTGTTGGGATTATGAGAAAGAGGCCCTGTTAGTGACGCCAAGTAGATCATGTCCCACTGTTCAAAGGAACAGCAAGAGAGAGAAACTGGATCAGTTCCTAAAACATCTTGGGCAGGTCACTGTCTGGAATGGAAGGACTCTGGAACAAGCTGTGCAACACAGTGTCCTGAGCACAGATGGTCCAGCCTTTGATGTTGTTATACATTTGCGTAAGGAGCAGTAAGAATAATGGGAAACTTTCATATACAAGCTGCATTACCTATTCCACCCAGTAGAGAATCATGCAAAGTTCAAGAATCATTGTGCTAAGTTCAAGAGACTGGTTGCTTATGTGGATAATCTGCACATATTGCATAGGAAGGCATACACAGCAATAGCTCTGAATAGATCAGAAGGCCATTCTGATTGATATATTCATTGGGGAGCTTCCCAGTAAGCTCTTACAATAGCAGTTGAAAGTGAAAGATATCACCGTCCCAAACCAGCTATTTAAGAAGAAGCCTGCAGCAGCATTTTTAGTGGCAACTCCGTCAGTAGATGGTGTGGCTCAGGTACCTTCACCACGATAGGCTAAACCCATTTGGAGGGTGAACAACCGGCCACCTTAACAGGATGGAAATGTGAAGCAACCACACTTGTCCCTAGTGAGTGGGCAAGGCTGTTCAGTTCCTCCCATGGAATACATGTCACAACAAGGTCCATCCACAGTACATATACCACAGAAAGGTTCATTCGTGAAATGTATGCCAACATATGGGTCATGTAACTATCCACCTAAGAGATACACACCACAGCCATGACTGATACCTTTGCCTGGACATTTTTCAAGTTGAGAAGAGCAAAGCATCTGCTTTGCTTGTGGATTTGGGAGTATTAAAGAAAGAAAAATACCCATAATTTGTAGCACATCAAAGACAGCAGAGCTATTAGCTCAGCTAATGCCCACCAACCCTCAATGTCAGCACTTTACTGTGCAGCAAAGTAAGTAAGGGTATTGATACTGGCAATCAGATCATTAGGTCTGAGATAGCCATCAACAAGCTTTAGATGCTGCGGCATATGTTCTGGAAAGCTTGGGTGAGTACAGCATACTGCTTGTACACACTAAGGCCTGAAGAGTAGGATCAGCTTGTAAGTTAACAAAGAGCTTAGTGGTCAGTCCTGCTCTGTCAGGGCTGAGTGGAGATTGGTATGTGCTGCTAAGAGTACAAGGCCAAGCGGATTAATTTCTGGTAGACACAGGAGTAGCAAAAACCGTAGTGGAACTCAATAATTCAAGCCTTCTAAGTGAGACCACCACCACAGCTTGTGAATACTGGATTTGTTCTGGAAAATGACAATAGACTAGACATTAGAGAAAAAGTGAATGTCCAGCTAGACCTAGGTGGTATTGCTCTCAAAATGAAAGCAGTCATCTCCAATCTCAAATTGGAAAACTCAGCATAAGCGTAATGTGGCGTTCATCAGTCAGTTTTGCATGTGCAATGGGTGAGCTGATGTACCATGTAAAAGTCGTATGCTGCCAGGTCGAACTCACGAACAGTAAAATGCACAATTTTGTAAAACATTACAAGTCTTTTGTAGCGACCTCGTAACTATTTAGTGCTTGTTATAGTTTTCATGCTATAACTTTTAAATTAGTTAGCGTATGTTAACTAAATTTGGCAGATTATTAATCAACATTACAATGCTTTTATACGCAAAATATCTATTTTTTTTTATTAAGTCTTAAGGTTTGAAATATTTTTATCATGCTTTTTTTCTTCTTTTCGCATGTTGTCTATCCGACATGCAAAGTAATTTTCATATTAAGGTTAAACATACTTTTATGCGAAATCATTATAATCTCCAGATAGTTATTATACGTTTCTTAAGAAAAAACTTTGTTTTATCTGTTATTTTCATTTTCAGTGACGGTTCTCTGTACGGGTTCGGTAATTTGACCGATATCTTAACTAACATAAAAAATTAGGAAATAAATATAAATTATGCCTCTATCATTCTAGAATGACAACAGATTATAATACGAAAACATAAATATTTAGACTAAATAGCTTAAATCTCATAATATTATACATTTATATATATTCATTATATTAATCTTTCAGCTGTGCCTGACTAACAATACAGAAGTTACAATGACGCGGCACACGTGCACTCATGTTACCATATCAAATAACATAAAACTGACTTTTGTCTGTTTTAGTAAACTAGTATTTTGTAAAGTACAGTCACATTTAAATTATTATACATTATATATGTATATAGATTTTTGCTATTTTGAAATAAGTTCTTAAACTTATTTTTCTTAAACATAGAACAGAAAATAAAGTAAAGCAAACAGTTATCTCTTCTAGTTACGACCTTTGTACTCAATTGCTGCTTGACGTAGGTTGCTAAACCTTTAAAAATTTCGCACGTGGAGGATATGAAACCAAATATTTTTTGGGTTTTTTTATATATACATCTGAATAACTGAAAAATCATAAATTACTACATCAGTACCATAGAATTCCACTATAATTTATCAAGCTTAGTAACTTAGATGTATTTTATTCTAAAATAAAAATGAAATTTCGAGCAGACAAAAGACACGCTCTACGTTGTTAAAATATTCGTTCAAAAGAAAGATATTTGTGCCAACTTCGCTAACATCGTTGATAAAGCCACTAAGAGACATTCTGGGCTTCCGATTGGTTATCCGTGTCATATATAATAGTAAGTGTTTATAAGGGAGCGTTTCCAAAATTAGAAAAAAGAGGGCGGGATACCACTATGTTTGATTTATTATATGAGCAATATCTAAGCAAATTGAAAAGATAAGAGGCTCTTATTTTATATTCTAGCTTGTCAATATCGGTGATTTGAGTTTCTAATTCGTTAGAAACCATAGAATCAGTATTTTGACATTACAAACATCTAATTTGAACCAGTGCTGCATTCAACATACCACATGACACACAAAATTCGATGTTTAACTGTTTTTTTTAAATATTTACTTTTAAATTAAGAAATTGAGTAAGGTATAATACTAAAATTTTAATTATAATCTGATATCAACCTTATTGACATAAATTCATGAAACAGTAGTTCAATAGAATTTTGAATGGAGTCAACAAACGAGATGTCATGGTCTTTGACACGTGTGGAAAGGGATATGTGGCATTGCCTATCTAATACTTTAGGGAAATTGAGTTTACTTGAAAGACCACAGTAACGAACCCACAGTCCTGAAGTGCGAAATACAGTTTTGCGGCAAGAAGACATAAACTATGAACCACTGGGCATGCTAACATCTACAATACACTAGGCCTATATACGGTTTATATGTATAGGTATGCTACTATGTTTAATGCTGTAATTGTTATGCTGGTATTTATTATTGTATTGAAACTGAGTTTCAGATATTCAGTGTAGTCTTTATTTATTTATTTATTTTGGATTTAGATTTTTATCAAGTGGCACATCAAGTACCTTATGAAGAGTAGTTTGTTTATTTTATAAAACTGTTGGGCCTTTCATTTTCAATAACGTTTTGTTTTTAATCAGCATGTACTTTCTTGTCAAACTGATATACCAGTGTAACATTTTTTGACAACCGAATCACAACAGTAAAGTTTTCTGGTTATAGTAGATGCTATGTGCTACTTTTATGTCTACACCTTATTGCAAGTCATTTATTATAATCATCGTCTTCACACAGGTCATGGCAGAACCTGCTAAACTCGAAATCAATGACTTGCTTATTGAGGATGAAGATTATTGTTCTCAGCCCCAGAGGATGCGACATCCCTCTATATTTTCAAGTGATAATTACATTACTTTACCCAACATGCCAGATAATGTATTTGTCCATGAAGCCGAAGTTCAAACCCCTCTATCGCCAAGAACAAAAATATCTGAACAGAAAATTGGGATTATCAATTCAGGATATATGCCAGACATGGAAGAAAAGCATTCTACTGATGCAGGTACAGTTTAATAAATGTAAATATACATGGAAGTTCCTAGAGTTTCATAATAAAAACTCCTTTTCAAATATTTTATAAAATAATAAAAACGATCTAACCGAAGGTCTGATATAATCATTAGAATAATTTGCTTGTAAAATTTTTTCTTAGTGTTAGGTTTTTTTCAAGTTACTTTGACTCCATATATATAACAAAGCTGAACTTTTATATACTGTTAACACATTCAGGCCAGATTGGTCAATTCAGTCTGTTTATGGGTATGCCTGTTGTTATTTCCAGTGTGCAACAAATTTTGTATAAACTAAACAGGGTTAATCAGACGATCTGCTTATGCTAATATAGTGACGTACTACCATAAATGTGAACATGGCGCCACAGTCAACATTTTCAGCACCAATAGTTTTTGTTGATTGCGGATTCTCAACCACTTTACAATGCAGTCACATTATATGAATAATTATAGGGAAATTATAACGAGATTGTTAAATGATGTAAAACTAAATGATTCAACTATTCAAAGAAGAAAGCATTGAATATTTTTCTTGGAAGCAGGAAAATTGTAGAGCAAAATTTCGAAAAACAGCAGGCTCCAACACCACATTTTTTTCCCATTTCAGAGCAAGCTTTCATCTGCACAGTGAAGTTTATGGTTACAAAAAATAAGCCACCTGGTCCTTCAAAAGAGAATTAATTGTGATGAAGCTGGGTATATAGCCTTGCATCGCTAATAATATAATAAACTAGGACAGGAATATGGCAGTTGCTCACAAACTTCTTAGCACACCTCGAAATGAACGGTCATTTTCATGAGAAGGATGGCTGAAGAAACTGGAAGTACAGCAGCCCTGTTTAACAACATAATTATATTTCCTCTCCGATGCTATCTTAATAGAACTGCTCAATTTGAACTGCTTAAGTGTCACTTAGAAGCTGATCTCTACATACAGTAGAGGATCCTGTGGAGAGTTTAAGACTTCACTTGCTGTCTTTAGCAGGAGCTTGCTACAATAAGACCCGTGGTCTCGGACAATAGAGCGCAGACGTGGCCGTCATGCTACACACAATTGGTGGAAGAAACTTGACTTGTTTAGAATTTTTGCGCAAAGCTACACAAGAGCCATCTAAAGAGATTTTTCTTTTAGTGGCGAGAGTACACATACGAACTTATGCTCTTACAGTACCTCATCCTGAACACCAACTTTCATCGATCTACCTACCTCCACAGGCTCATTCCCCCCCAACCCCTCGAATCAAACAACAACAACCCGATAAAGAAAGCAGGCTCACACTTCCTTCTACAATCTCAGGCTCCCCGCGGAGATCAAGAAAGAAGTGTACCGAGAACTGTGAAGTGCTACTATGCCGTTCCAGCCGTTTTCAACATGAAGAAGGCCCAGAAAGAGGGAACTGATAAGCTAGTCTCATATTCCGTCAAAACTGGTAAGTCTAGCATAGGTGGCAGTTCGCTTATACTCTAAGGTCAGAACAAACGAATGTAAAATCATTATGTTCCCAGGCATAGAAAGAACTGAGTAAAATGTCAAAGAAAAGAAAAATGGAAGAGAGTAAAACAACTCTCCCAACACAAGTGTAGATTCTAATGCTGAGATTAATGAAGTAACAGTAACTGACAATGGTGAAATACCAAATAGTATTTGTAATGTAGAAAATAGTACAACCACCTTGGATATTCCCGACGATGATAAAGACGGCTTCACTCTTGTCGTCAACAAAAAAAACAACGAAAAAAGCAAAGCACAGCCCCAACAACAAATAATCAAGAAGCAGAAAATCCGCAAACAACTCAGAAAAACAAACCAAACTATCAATTATACTAAATGGCGTGCCAAGTTCATACATGGTACCCCAGGTACTAGCAGATATCTGCTGCTGTATACTGCAAATACAAATTGTAACAGCAAAACGACTAGCTAGAGGCGGTATCCTAATGCAGGGCGCCGAACCTAAAATTTTAGCACCTTATTACAAGAATGGCCCAAGGACGCTATTACCCCTAGTAAAATACAGATAACACTACCCAGTAATAAACCACAAACAAAGGCAATAGTCATAAGAGGCATAAATATTAACATAAATAGTAATATCATTAATGAAGAACTTAAACAACAACAAAACATACATTTCATAAAAGCAGAAAGGATCACATCCGCAAGGCACAGCAACACATTAACCTCATAAAGGTCACACTAGAAGCACACGATAACATCACTGACCTCATTGAGAATGGGGTCATCCTATGGTACCAACAATTTACAGTGGAGGAGGCGAAAAAGCCAGTTATGACAGTAACACATTGCTTTAATTGCCGAAGGTTCGGACACATGTCGGCACAAGTCTCTACCATGATACATCAACTGTGGAGGCGAACATCTAGCGTCACAATGCAAAAAGAAAGCCCAACACCTAAATGATGCAATTGCAATGAAACACATACAGCAAACTATAAAAGCTGTCCAAAGTTTGAATAATTTAATATTTTTCCTTGTACTTTTTATCCCTCCAGGTTTACCTGTGTCTATGGCAGATAAAAAATCCACACAAATTCAACTTCAGAACACAATTCCCACCATTAATATCGAGACTCCTGTTGCAACCTCGAAATCATCTGTTATTTATTGGAAGGATTCTACTAGTTCCGAATCTCTTCACACTGAAGAAGAATCATGGTAGGTTAGAAACTACAATAGTTTGACGATTATTATAACTAGCTACTGATTAGTATGATTCGTTAAGTAATACATTAATTAGCTTATTACAAAAACATCTATTATCTAAAACATGTTTAGATTTTCCATTTTACTTTATAACCAATATTACTCGATTTTTTGAAAAAAACAAACAAACTTATTCTTATTTATAGTAATTCGTTTAAGCCAAATATTGAAGACAAAACCAATAGACAGTTGTGTTCAAAGCCCTAACAAGTGGCCTGGCATGGCCTAGTGGTTATGGCGCTTGACTCGCAATCTGAGGATTACGAGTTTGAATCCATGTCCCATCAAACATGCTTGTCCATTCAGCTGTGGAGGAATTATAATGTGACGGTCAATCCTACTATTCATTGCTAAAAGAGTAGCCGAAGAGTTGGCAGTGGATAGTGATGACTAGCTGCCTTCCTGTCTTTCACTGCTAAATTAGGGAGCTAGCGCAGATAGCTGTTGTGTAGTTTTCGCGAAATTCGCAAAAAATTATTTTATCCACACCAAAAAAGTAATGATAATCTGATAAGATTACTGTATAAAATAATCGATATCAGTACCTTTCAGGTTAAGCTTTTTTTTCAAATAACTTATGTTATTCCGTGTTATTCAGTTTGTTAAATATAGACAATAGTCTTTACTCTTTCAAAATCCCAAAACTATTATGGTGTTTTTAAGGAAATCTTGAATGTTTCAATTTCTTCTTTATTCCATATTTCAGCAAATGAAATTGAATTTGCATATATTATTTTGAGTATTTAAATCTGAAATGGTTATTTTAAATTGAAGTGATTACAATACAGCTTTTCATCTTTGAGAACCAAGAATTATATATCTAGTAATGTTTTATAATACAAGCTTTCAGTTTTCCTAAATAAATTATGAATCGTTTTATCACAGTTGTTATCAATAGATTTATAGATTTACTTTTGGGAAACCTAAAAAAAAAATCACTATTTAAGTGATGGCTCACAACTTGTTTAAACATAAGATAATTTAACTCACTATTGGCCCCCTTATTTTTGTTTTTTAATGTTGCTAGTTTAGGCCTTTACATTTTGGGTAGAATGCATCTACTAAGTGGTATGAAACCATCTACCTTCAATTCAAAATGCTAACTGGAAAGATAATGGAAGAAATCATAAGGAAGGTTGTTGGATATACAAGACTGTTTGGTATAAGTGTTGTTATTTGGTTTATTTTATGAAATAATATTTAATGATTATTTACTTCTCATAAAAAGAAAGTTAAAAGTAATTATTTTAAAGGCGATAGTTATGACAAGTTTGATTGCGTAAGAGTAGTACGTTGTGTTTGCAATTACACTGTTGTCTGGGCTTTACTAATATTGTTGACGTTACTGGAGTCTTCGGTATTTTTCTCGTTAACTCAGTATTGTTAAATCATTGCGTCGCATAGCTTATAGGAAGTTCGAGGTGTGTGTGTGTGTATATATATATATATGTATGTAGGTAGGTGAATAGCGAGTGCAAATAAGAAGAGAAAAAGTTAAGTAACAGTTCAGTAAGAAAAATCTAGAAAACGTAAAGTTAGCAAGCGTGTGAGTGATTAGTCATGATGAGCGATATTTTAAAGTGAGTTTCACAGTCTAACTAATATAAGGAGAATAATTTGCTTGTTAAAGGGTGTTCTAAAGTAATTGAACCCTCTGTGTGGACTTTGACGAAAGGAGACAACTTCCCGCAACTTTCTCGGTATAACTGTTTGCCAGGTCGTCACTTTCCCATCTACAATTTCCCATCTCCGGAGAAGAATACCATCTTCACGTCCCATTGTGCCCAATAGTTCTTTGTCACAGGGCTTAAGCTAGACACTTTCTCCCAAGAAGGGTGAAAAACACTTGCTTTTAGAAAATCAATTATTGACTTCAAATCTTGATCTTTCTCCTGCTCTGCTTTAATATCTATACCTGGTTTCACTTCACCATCATCAACGCCTTCAGTCACTTTGACTTCAGCTTGATGGCACCTAGTTAGTTCAACCTCTCTTTTAACAGTTACCGGAATTTGGCCTTTGTTGTTCCATAACATCATTTTATCAAAATTAATTACAAACTTTTTCGGTAGTAAGTAGTCCAACCCTAATATGCATTGGTTTTCAATGTCAGCCAAGTATACTTTGTGTCTGTCCTTCATGCCCATGAGCTCAATAGTTACCCACACTGGTCCCCACAACCTTGCAGAATGTCCTGTCACACTACAGAGCTTCTTTATGGCTTCTGGTACTCCTTTGTGATCTAACACCTTGATGCTCACAAGGGTTTGCTGAGATGCAGAATCTATGACAAAGTTGCACCTTTGGCCATCCAGCTTTCATCTCACGTAGACACTATGTGTGCTTGGCATTTTACACCTAGCTGTTGGGACTTTCACGATGGGGGTTGGTGGGCATACCTCAACACCAACCACTACTGGTTTCCCCGAGGACGAGGCTGACTTATTGGTAGTATTCTTCTTATACTGGCTTCTCATATGTCCTTGCTCTCCAAAGTTCCAGCAACCTTTCTGGGTAGCAGCCTTTCCTATCACGACATTTTCCCTGTGTTGAAGTTTCCAGCATTAAGCTCTTTTGGTGCCCAGGTTTATTGCAGTACCAGCAAAGTCCCTCAAACTTCTCTGAGAGCTGACCTTTTCTGGCCTTGAATCATGATGACTGTACCAACCTTGGTACCTCTGTGCTGGACTTAACATAGGATTCGAATTTCAAGAGCTCTGGTTTTTGTATCCTGCATAGTAGAGGGG